ACTCTCATGATGTATTCACTCCTAAGCATACTGGCTGGGGGATTCTGGGGGCTGAAGTCCACACATCTTAAAGTTGCCAAGGTTGAGAAACACTGCAATAGCGAGCAGCTGCTTTTATTATTTATCCAAGGAAAGTTTTGGATCCTGCGGGCACCTCTGGCACTTTGGATCATAAAATCGTAGAATGTAAGGGTGCAAGAGTACCTTGGAGATCATCTAGTCCAGGGTTTCTCAACCATGCTGGCTGGGGAATTCTGGGAGTTGAGGTCCACACGTCTTAAAGTCACCAAGGTTGAGAAGCCCTAATTAGTCCAACCCCTACCCAGTACCAGAATTACAGAACAGAACTTGTGCTGATCCTAAAACACAAGAGGTGGCTATGTAGGTGCGTAGTTCTGCACGTGGGGAAGATATTCGATTTATTTATAAAACCAAAGGAGCCAAATCTATAGATAGAAAAAGTTTATCATAAAAGGAAAAGAAGGAAAGGTAACAAGAACCCACAGAGTGCCAAATAAAATCAATACAGTATAGACAACCTAGTTAAGCTAGTTACTTATTATCTTTTTTTAATGAGGTTTTGGATTTCAGCCTGTGTGTTGCAAACGTTTATATTTGCTGAGGCTAAGTTTCCACAAACCACCTTTGTTTCTATACTTACATGTATATGAGTGCGTGAAAGAGCAGTTGGTGTGTTAAAGAACAGTTTGTGAGTATGGATGCAAACAGAGGATCCATTTTATAAAGGGGGGGCTTAGTTTACAAAAAAGAATTTTAATCAGAGATTATTAATTTAATGATAATTCACTTGTCCTGAGCTTGCCTTTGGGGGAGGGGAGGTATGGCTTCTAACTACATATGTATGTGGGTGTATACACAAACATGATTAAATGTATCACATGAAGACAATCTTACAGATTGGATTCAATGGGAGCTGGTAATCACCAAGGTAGAGAAGCTGCATAACGTACAGGAGTTTTGTGTGCGTGTTTTACTCCAATCTTTTGGAGGGGAGGAGAAATTGTCTTAAATGTTAGGATGTCTTCCTTTCAAGTAAATACGGTAAAATGCAGGGCACCTGAAATTAACTGAGCTGATAATCTCAGCAGAAGAGAAACGTTAAAGGAGTCCATGGCAAATCTCCAGAAGGGGCAAAGTCCATAATATAGTAATAATAATAATTTATTAAATGCATATGCCACCCAACTCCCTTCTAGTTTGGGCAGTAGAGCCCGAGGCCAACCTTATACGTGGGCATGTCTGCAAATTCTTTGAACATAAGCCACAATAGAAACAGAATTTGTGATTGTTGCTGTCCTCATCTTTGCAAACTCAATTATCCAAAACTCATTCCAATATATAAAATAGGTGGGTCTTGACTGGTAAGGGAGAGATACCGGAAGCTACTTTCAGCCAAGTCAGACTATGGAGTCAGCTAACCCAACGTTATTTAGACTGACCAACGAGTCCCAGAGAGAAATTGGTGTAGATTTGCCCAAAGTGAACTGCCATCGTAGAATCATGGAGGTCATCAATGCAGGATTCCCTACACCTGTGTTTCTTAAATTCTTTGCTCTCACGACCCCTTCCCGCTTTTAAAAATTATGGAGGACCCCAAACAGCTTTTGTCTGTATGGTTCATTTTAATCGATATTTACTGTATTAAAAATTAAAATCGATGCATTTGTAGAATATTTATTTATTTTTTGAATCATGTAAAAATAACCATATGAAAACCATTAGATATGAACATAACATTTTTCATGAAAAAAACTAATTTTTTTAACAAATAAAAAATAATAATGGGCAGAGTGACATTGTTTAAAATTTTTGCAAATATCTTCAATATCTGGCAAATAATTTTGATTTTGCAGACTCTGAAGGAGTCTTGGGGGACCCCTGGCGGTCCCAGATAACCACTGCACCACACCGTCCCCAAGAGATGACTCTCCAGCCTCTGTTTGAAGGCATTGAAGGCACCACATGCAGGGAGGGTCCAAAGATCATTAGAAGCCATGGAAAAGAGGAATAGAAGTTCAAAGGGAAGAAAAATATGCAACTCTCCAAACACAGTCATGCCGGAAATCTTTACATGAAGACACAATTCGTTGGGGAATTGCAAGACACATGTCCAGTTAATAATGAAAGAGGCCATAAAGGGGTTTTATGTTTATGCACATATACTGCAAAATGAATGGAGCTTCAATCACACCATCGTGGCTGCCATCTTGACTTTTTTGACCACACCCTGTGGACACTCTGGCCGGGAAGGTGGATTTACAAAAAATGTCAGATGCATTTAACCTTTTAAAGGACGGTGAGAAAAAGAGGAGAAGGGAAGGGAACTACCATGCCTATGTATTACCAATTCATTCTGCAAGAAAACAATTTCAGCCATATCAAAGCCTCAACAACCTCTTAAATCAGTGTTTCTCAATCTCGGCAACTTTAAGATGGGTGGACTTCAACTCCTAGAATTTCCCAGCCAACATGCTGACTGGGGAATTCTGGGAATTGAAGTCCAGACATCTTAAAGTTGCTAGGGTTGAGAAACGCCATCTTAGATCAATCTGAAGTCCCAAGATTGATGCAAAACCTTCCCACCCCCCTTTCTAAATGGCCATCAGAGTCTCTCCCACTATGGCTACCAACTAAACTGTAATTTTTATTGTTATAGATATTTGAAATATTTGAATATATAGG